GACGGACGGACGGACGGACGGACGGACGGACGGACGGACGGACGGACGGACGGGCGGACGGACGGACGGACGGACGGACGGACGGACGGACGGACGGACGGACGGACGGACGGACGGACGGACGGACGGACGGACGGACGGACGGACGGACGGACGGACGGACGGACGGACGGACGGACGGACGGACGGACGGACGGACGGACGGACGGACAGACGGACAGGGCTATATCGACTCAGCTCGTCACGCTGATCAAGAATATATATACTTTGTGGGGTCTGCCACGCCTCCTTCTGCCCGTTACATACATTTTCACAAAACCATTATACCCTGATTTCCCATTTTCAATGGGTTCAGGGTATAAAAAAAATAAATAAAAATTGATAATCAATTTATTACTCTTTTTATTCACTTGTTTTTAATTTGATATGTATATATTTTACACCCAACATAATTTTTTTGTTTTTAAAAATACAAAAATATTTTTTTTTTTTTTAAATACGTCTCGAAATATTCTATTTCATAGCAAATTCTCTTTGGCTATAATTTTTATATTATATCTAAAATAAATAAATAATGTTCATAAGGCAAAATGTACGCTATTATATTCTTATAAAGTGATGAAATGTTATACTCCTTTATGATATAATATTGTTCTTCATTTAGGGAAAAGAAATATTCTTATGGTCCACCTGTCTTAATATTTTTCGCTTATTTAATAAATATTAAGATACACTCTTTTGAAATATAAAAATTAGTATTTACAGAATTATTGAAGCCAGATTTCACATTTATAGAAAATGCACATTTATAAATATCAATAAAATGTATAAATAAAAAAAAATAATAATAATGCGGGACAGGAAGAGTACATTTATATCTTGCACATAGCTGTCCTATTTAACAAATTTATAAGATTTATGTATATTTTAATATTAGAGTCGATAAATTTTACTTCGCTTGTCTGGGAGGTAACTCCCACACATATAGACATTTGGGCTATATGAGTCGATTAGTGGGGTGCGGTAAATCATAATCAGATATTAATTTATGCAGCAATATTTATTTTATTTAATAAAAAATTGGAAATTGTATAGATGCTTTCGCTCTTATTTAGTATTATTTTTTTTATTTAATGAACAACAATATCCTTTTTTTTTTTGCTTTAGATATCGTAGTTTAATATCGGAAGACTTTAAAAGGCGTACAATTTTTCGAAAGAAAACCCTGAAATAAGAATTTTTGTCAAGGCTGACACTTGAGTAATTCGAAATCGAATGTGTTTACATTTATGACACTTATTGAGTTAGGATTAGAGCTAAGATATTGCGGTCGCGTCTTAAGCTGAACATCTGTTTGGTTGCCTAGCCCTTTAGCGCAGGTAGCTATGTAAAATCCACCCACCCAGGCAACTGTTCAATTACCTAGGCGCCTGTCCCTCCCTCCCTCTCTCTCTCACTCTCTCTGCTAATTCCCAATGCATCTATATATATATCTCCCTCTCTCACTCTCTATGTCTCAGCGGATAAGTGCAAGCGTCGCTGGCGTCAGATTCGTAACGATTACGTGCGTTGGATATCATCGGACAATCAGCGTCAGCGCAACGGACAGAAGCGTCCAGGGTTTTACTTGGCCGACGAGCTTCAGTTCTTGAAACCGCATCTGTTGCTTGTCGATCGCGAGAGAGATTCGCCGGAGAGTGAGCGCGGTAGCGAGCGAGATAGCAAGAGCAAGAGCAAAGAGCCAGCGATTGAGGAATATAAAGGCAAGCAAAAGGACATTGACGAGTCAGTGGAGGAGCAGCCGCTGGCCAAGCTCAAGCAGACGGCTAAAGAAAAAGAACTAGAGAAAGAGAAAGATAAAGACAAAGAGAAAGAGAAAGCAAAACAGGAAGACAAAGAAAAAGAGAAAGAGAAAGATAAAGATAAAGACAAAGTCAAGGAAAAAGATCAAGCTAAGGATAAAGCCACAGATAAACGAGCGGATAAGGAGCAAAAGTCTCGATCAGAGGACCCCGCCACGCCCACATCCCCCGTGGACTCGCCCGTGGGCAGCTCGAAGCAGGAGTTTTTCATCAAGCAGAGCAACAGCAATAATCTCTCCAATTGCCTGATCATTGGCGTGAAACCGGCCGGCTCCTCGGCTAGCGACTCACCACTGCTCGACTCAATGGCGGACGACAGCGCCGACGAGACCGCCAGCATGGGCGGCGGGCGGCGTTTGCGGCGTGGCGCCAACCGCACCAAGAACCCGGCCATACAGAAGGCGACCGTCGAGCAGCGCCTGACGCGCCTGCAGCGTCGCAAATCCATGACCATGGCGGCGGCAAACAGTTTGATGAGCTCCACGTCGCCGGTGAAGATGACGCCGGTGCCCCGGGCCAGTATGCCCGCCAGCACCACCGCCAACACCAATGCCAACGCTGGGCAGCCTAAGGCGGCCAATAAGGCGCCCGCCAAGCCAGCGCTGGCTGGCGCCCGGGATGACATATTTCCACGGCCGAGGGCCGCAGCTCCGGTCAACCAGCAGGTGGTGCTCGCTCGCCATCCCGGCGTGCCGCTCCAGATGCCACCAAAGTTGCAGCCGCCGCAGGGCGTGCAACTCATGCCGCCACGTCATAACTACGGCACTGGACGTCCGCCGGGCCCGGCACGGCTGGCGGCCAATGCGCAGGCCAAACGTCTGCTGGCTGGAGCTACGCCACCCGGACCACGGGTCAACTTCGCCGGGCAACAGCGCCCGCCGGCGCCGCTCAACGATGGCTTCAAGTCGCCCGCAACCAGCTCGGCGCCAACCTCGCAGGCTCAGGCTCAGGCTCAGCTGCAGCAGCTACAGCCACAGCGGGTCGTCTCCTCGAGCAACACTCTGGTGATCAGCACCACCAACAACAGCTCGACGAGCAGCTCGAGTTGCATAAACAGCATGGCCAACATGGCCAGCACGTCCAACGTGGTGAGCATGGTCGGCTTGGCTAGCATTGCCAGCTCCAGCTGCGGCTCCAATTCCAATTCCACTCCCAGCTCGAGCTTTGCCACACAGACAGCCTCGATCACCGCCTCGCCGATTGTGAGCACCACCCCACCCACCATAGCGCTGATCAAGCGCTGTGAGCGGGGCAACCAGACCGAGTGCCAGGACATCTTCTCGGACGAGCACTTCTTGGAAATGGTGCGGCCGCAGATGAAGGAGATGAATCCGCGCCAGAAGATGCACTTCAAGCAAAAGATCTTCCAGGCCCTGATCGAGATCTTTGACGATGCCACCGACTTTCCAGCCAGCGGCGAGGTGCAGCACTTCAATATAAACACCCCGTCGGGGTTCGATCATGTCACCGACGATGAGCTGCGTCTCATACGGGAGCTGGTCAGCATGGTGGGTGCTGCCAAGCATTCAGCCGGCATACCCATGCCCAGCTCCAGTTCCAGCTCTGGCACGCCGTTGATGGCACAGCGTCTGGCCACCCCCAAGACGCCAAGCGTGGCGGCGAATGCCTTGAAGCCAACCCTAACAACGCCTCAAGGCGACGAGAAGAAACTCTATCGCATCATGAAGATGAACAACTATACCAAGATCGTGCCCAGTCCATCATCATTGACGGATCAGCGCAAGGACAGCGTCGACAGCATCAGCAGCAGCTGCACCATTCCATTGGCCAGCAGCTCCTCTCTCAGCAACAAGTTCGCCGTGCCCGGCGTGGGAGTCAAGGCCGTGGCCCGTCCGCTGGATCCCTTGAACCAGCTGTTCGGTCAGGGCGGCAAGCCAGCGGCCGGTACGGGTATCTCCCCCAAGGAGCCCATCCTGGTGCGCCAAATGGGCCGACGCTATTCGGTCTGCGGTGGCGGTGGTCCCACCAACTCCTTGGGCGTCAATGGAGTCAATGCCAGCAGCGCCAACATCGACGTGGCCGTGCTCAAGCGTCGCATCCCGCCCGTTGCACAGCCCATGGCGGCGCCTGTCCAGCGGCCCCGCTACTCGCCCAACTCCCAGCCGCCGGCCAACCCGGCGGCCAACAGCCTGCTGATGCGCCGCGTCAACGCCAACGGCGGCCAGCGCCAGGCGTCGCCGCTGTCGGCGAGCGTCGTGCCCCAGAAGACGCCGCAGATTGCGAGCATCCAGGGCAACGTCTTCAACGAGTTTGCCACGCCCACGGCAGTAAGGGGCGGCAGCGGCAGCGGCAGCGGCTCACCAAGTGGCATCTCCCCAGGCATGCCGCCGCTCAAGCGTGCCATGATCGTGGCCAATGCCAAGAACACAGCACAGCCAAAGCCAACGACGACCCTGGCTCGCACCCAGGTGAGCCCGGTCAGCGGCCAGGCAAGGTCGCCCAGCCAGTCGCCCGGATCAAATGTGGCCAATCTGTTGGCCGAGCCACGCCCAGTGGTGCCCAATGCCGACATGGCCGGCACTATTGCAGCGGATGACTTCGACATGGGTCGCCTAAAACGGGAGCCACTGGACCCCGAAGATACGGCGGTCGACATACTGGGCCTATAAAGAAGCCAAAAAATAAAATATATATAGAATAAGAATGAAAAGTTAACAACAACAACATGAAAATGAAAACTAATTCCATGGAATTCCCTATTTTTTGCTTTTTACTTTTGAAATTGAAAATGAAAATGAACTTTACTCGAAATATTAATTTGCCAATCTCTTAATTTCTATTACATTACCATTTACCATTTAAGCACACTTACATGTGAAGTATCTATGAATTTATATTATTCAAGCCAATCCCTTGAGAGTTTCGAATATGCCTTCAGTTCTCGTAGATAACTACACAAAGACATAAACACACACACACATATATATATATATGAATATATATAATTTTTTTTTTCATGAACTATATTGAATAAAAATGTATTATTGTTAACTGAAAAACAGTTTTTATTTGGGCTTTGAGGGTTTTAGGGTTGGCTAGGTAAACAAGATCGTCGCTTGCTCAGGTAGGCCAAAGAGAGCAGAAAAAGGTCGAACAGAATGTCTAGGTGTGGTAAAGAGAGAGATGACTATATTATTTGCATGACAAATAGATCTTTTGGGCTTACTGTTAAGATCGAGGATAACCTGGAATGTAGAATGTACATAAGCAACTGCGCTTCAATGAGAGACTTGACAGAAGGCGGATATGTAAGAGATCTATTGTATATGAAGAGATCATAATTGACAGCTTAAAATGTAATATATATATAATGAACGATCAGTAGCACTCAAGGAAATACTAATAGTTGACATTGGACAGCTTCATATGTTAATCTTTGCCTTCAAACCCCTTTTAAATATTTTAAGAAATTTTTGTTGTCAATGCAATAGAAGTATTCTATCTTGCTCTAGGACAATTAGATCAAACATATGCGGAAAAGTATAAAATGACTGTGGGTTATTAAATCTATTTAAAATTTGATTGATCTATGTAATCTAGCTCTTAGTTTGCGCTTTTCAGCGATCAGAGTCGAACTTACAAACGACTGATCCTTAAATAGAGAGCAAGAACAAGTATGAACATCATTGTAGGGTCTATAAGAAATAAAGGCCTAATAAACTCATTTAGATATTCTTAAGATCAAAGATCAGTGATTAAGCAGCTAATGAAATTAGACAATTGTGTAAACTATTGGAACATATACACATATATATTGTTTATGTAAACCCAATGGCTTTATGATAGTTAAGCCTTCCGTTCCCACTTTCAAGATCAGCAGACTTGATAGCGAGTCACCCATATAAAACCCACTTGATTTCGTGTGAAGCACACGACACAGCTGAATTCTACAAATACATATAGACAATGTAGGCCTGGGCATATACAATATTTTTATAGCAGGCCCCTAAATACACGCCAGTCTAGAATCTTATCTGAAGAGCCAACACAACAGCACAACAGCACACCAGGCAGCAGCTTGTAAATTAAAATATTAATAATATTCGATAACAATATAGCTGGCGAACTGTGGGCTAGCAGTGGTATATATAAACACATTCGCGATCGGCTCGCACGTTTAGTTAACTAAAGAAGAATCCGCCGCAATGAAATACTACGCGATCTGTGCCCTGCTGCTCGTGCCCCTCGTCTATGGCGCTGCCGTGCCCAGGACTGAGAATGCCGATGTGGATCTGGTGCCCGACATGTCCACAGCCGAGGATGGCAAAATGATCGCTCTGGTGCCCGACATGTCGGTGGCCAGCGATGCGTACTCGAATGCCCAGCCCAGCAAGCGTCACGTGCCGCCCTTCCGCTTCATGAACGAGCAGATGGAGAACAACGCTGACATTGACCTGATTCCCGATATGTCCGTGGCTGCCGATGCTGAGGATAACGAAGGTGAGTCAGTCGATCTGTGATCTTTGAGTGAGTTCTTAAACATGGATCATATTAGTTCCCGAGGCTATGTCTGCTGACGCCGATCTGATTCCCGATATGTCCGTTGCCTCCGATGGCGAGGATCAGGGTGAGTAGTTTCCGAACCTCTTTCTGATAGACTTCCACATAAAACTCATTTTCTGGCACAGTCGCCGCTGTGGTGCCCGACATGTCTGCCGCCTCCGAAAGCGAGGATCATGGTAAGTAGCTAGCTGTAACCCTTTTATATAAAACTGCCCAACTTGAATTACTTTTCTGGATGAATAGTTGCCGCTGTGGTGCCCGATATGTCCGTGGCTTCCGACGCTGAGGATCAGGGTAAGTTCCGAGATATTCCTTTTCTGCTAGACTTTCACTTAGAGTCCGTTTCTGATCTAGTCGCCGCTGTGGTGCCCGATATGTCTGCCGCTTACGAAAGCGAGGACAACGGTAAGTATTAGACTCCTGGCCTCGTCCTAGAGATCTAAACTCCAACTTAAATTCAAATCCTTCCGAATAGTTGCCGCCTTGGTGCCCGACATGTCCGTGGCCAGCGATGCTGAGTAAAGCTGAAGTTCGAGCTTCCGCTTTCTGCTCTGAGCACCATCCAAACCCTCCCCAACTCACTCCTGTTTTTTGACTGTGTATTGTATATTGTATTTTTTAAGTTTTTATCGGCAGCATTAATAAATTTATATGGCTAAGCGTTTGGTTGTTTTCTTTTCTTTATTTATTGCTGATAAAACACTGTTCGAGAGCTCCGAAAACATTTCGTGATTTTAATTAAATATGATTTATTGTCAGTTTCCCTCAATTATCTGACAGCGATAAGCTCATGCCTCAAGTGTGCTTCGACACGGACTGACGACTCCATTTAAAGATCTGCATTATCTCTCCAAAAAGTCTTGGCCCTGGGTTGACTACATATGTTTGGCTGGTAAGCAATCGTAACTTTGCTTTAATTGGATTATTTTATTAATTTTGAGTGTTATATTTTGTGGCCTACCTTTCTGTTCTAGTTTTTAAGTTCTTAACTCTCGCCTGCATCATAAGATAATTTCTGCATTCATTAATAAAAGGTTGTTTTTCGTAAGCCATATTACTTAAGTACCTATTACGTAAAACATTACGTAGTGCCTATTACGTAAAAAACTTTACGTTGTGCGTATGACGTTAAGCATATTACGTTAACTATGTTGATTACGTAGTACCTACTAAGTATTATTACGTAAGTCATATTACGTAGTCATACGTACTACGTAAAGTGTTATAGTTCAAACTTCGTAATCATACTACGTAGTACAAACTACGTAAATCATATTACGTACGCCATTTTACATATATAAGATTAACGGATCTTATATATATCACGTAAGATATGTTACGTAAGGCATATTACGTAGTACCAATTACTTAATAATAAGTTTTACGTAAAACCTATTACGTAATACGTAAAACATATTAATTCATATTATCTTTGACTTCATTTCTTCTGATCTGATCTAATGCTGATTTCGCATTTTCTAAAATAATGCTTTATTTCCTTCATCCTACAATCCACTCTTAGCATATATATTACGTAAAGCATATGACGTAGTATATATTACGTAAAACATTGTGTAGTACCTATTACGTAAAGCATTTTAACTTATCTTTGACTACTGCTGAATACTTTATTTCTTTCGTCCTAAAACACACCTTAGCTGTCTATTGCATTTATTTTCTGTACGTAACTTTTCGTAAATAATCCCAATTGTATATTACTTTTTGCATTCATTCCCAATAAACAGCTCTTTCCTGAGATTATTTGTCCTAACATCATTTGCCTGCCGTTGCTAGCGATCCCAACTTTGTGTTGAGCACATCTATCTCTCTATCTCCATCCCTCTCTCTCTCTCTCTCTTCGTTTCCAGTCACACAACAACAAATTAGCCTCAATTTCGCTAGGCAATTACATTACATTTAGCTACCTAAAAAAAAGAGAGCGAGAAAAAAACTGATTAGTTTTGCGTCATGGCCGCAGAGCTACGTTTAGGTTTCCCGTTTGAGCTAACAAAATGAGTTTTTTTCTGTGCCTTTGTGTCCGTTGGCTATTAATAAAAAGGAATTAACGGCAAAAACCGGACCCACGCAGAAAGCGGCCGTGATCCCAATGAGGCGCTTGCCCATAAACAACCAGCCAGGCAGCCGGGCCAGGCCACTCAGCTGGCCAGCGCATAGGTTAATGGGGAAGAGAGGAGTAAACATCGCTCCCCCTCTACCTGCCTTCGTCCCCCTCTGTCTACCTCTCTCGCTCTCTTCCACCCCCCTCGTCTATGTGTTGTCTTGTTGTCGTTGTGATTTTCACACAAAAGCGCTAAAGCGGCTACTAAATTACGTGCTCATGTGTTCTAGTTCTGGAGGCAAACGCCAAAGCGACGCGACATCGACCACTGTCACGGCACCACCCGCCCGCCCACGCCCGCAACTGTTGGATAGGCCAAATCGCATTTGGTGCGCTAATGAACCGCAGTGCAGCCCAACCAGACCAGAAGCAAAGCCAAAACCAGAACTGGACCAGACGAGGAGTCCACATCCACATCCACATCTACATTTACATCCACATTGATGGCGACATTGGCTACGTTTGGTTCAACTACCTCTAGCCGCATATTTAAGCGCAAAAAAAAAATATACCGTTTAAAAGTGTAACAATGCTGTTAACTATTGCGCTGCGCTGTTCTCTTTCTCTCTCTCTCTCTCTCTCACACCACTCCGCCACCATTGGAGGCGTGGCACGCCGACTGACCCCAGGCTAGCAACAAAAGCCGCTTGATTAAACTGCATTTGTGTGATATGCTCGCATATGCACGTATGTATGTGTGTATGTGTATGTGTCAGCAGTCGGTCAAAACTCCTAAGAGGCTAGAACGATCAATTGATGTAATTGAGTACATGAAGTGCGCGCTCATCAACTTCTATTTATGTAGATGTAATGTAGCTACAATATGTGCCTAACAACATAGAGGCGAATGCATATTCTATAATTCTGTTGCTCGAACTTCTATATTTACATACACACAGATAATTAACAGAAATATTCAGCTGATAACGCTTCGTCTCACTCGCACTCTATAACTTCCACTCTCTGGGCTTCACACTCTCTGCTTCACACTGGGCTCTTCCATGCGATTTGCACTCACGCAAACTATGCCCGACAATAAGTCCCGCTAGCCTTGACTCTTTGCTCTCTTACATTTCTCATGGCCTTTTTTTTGCATTTGCTCTATATAACGCTGCAAAGCTGGAGCTATTAATAAAGTTTTCGCTCAAGTGCAGCCACAAGAAAAAAATGGCTGAATAAAATGTGCACAAATAATTGCCAACTGCTTCGAATATTAAAGTGTTTGTGAGTGCGTGTGCTGTGCGGTTGTGTTTGTGTTTGCTTATTGACGGTTTACTTATTTCTTTATATTCGTGTCCGGCAGAAAAGTTGCACAGAAAGTTCAAAGGCAAAATGCAGCGCAGGCAAAGCAGAAAGCAAAGTTAAGTTTTGTTAAGGAAACGAAATGAAATTTTGCCCAAAAAACTAAAAGTGAAGCGATATGCATAACAACAAAAGTGACGCCCAACCCCTGCCCCGCGCACCCTTTCTCTCTCTCTCACTACTCTCTCTATTCAACTTCAGGCTGAGAGTGAATAAGAGGCAGCGGCGAAATAAATGAAAATGCAAAAGTGGAAGAAGTAAAAAGTTTTGTAATATGCCGCCAGCCGCTCAACGCAGAGCAGTGAAGCTTTAGGATCTGCGGCAGAGGCAGCCAGAGCGGAAGCAGAGAGCAGCGGACTAGTGCAGCAACAGCTGCAAAGTCACAGCACATCAACAATTGAGAAGAGTGCGAGCATTGAAGAAGAGTAAGTAAGAGAAGTTATTCACTGTTGCTTCCCATTTTGCATTTCCATTTCCAATTTAAGTTTGCAGTTGACTTTCATATAAGCATAATAACAACATTAAAAATAATACAATTATTAGTTCAGCTCAACTATTTTGTGTATATTTAGTTGTTGATCAGATAAGATTGTAAAACAATGCTAGATTTTAAAGCACATGCACTGTCAACTGGAGAGACAAAGATAGCAGCTAAACGACGACAGTTGCTAGTAGTGTAGGTTGCTAACAATAGATGGCGCCACAGCAAGAACAAAGAGTGGTAGATAAGTTAAACAAACAACAACAAGCATTGTAGGTAACGCGCGAAATTTGAAACTCCTTCTAGACACACAAAATGAAATTGTCAAAACAAAGTTTTGTCAGAGCAACCAGGGAGGGGAAAAGCAGCGGGAAGTGTTGTGCAGCTAAGCAGAGAAACATGCCAAAGTGACGCATGACAGCCGAAAGTGGCCAAGCGATTAGTTTAAATGCCAAAAGCAGAAACCACAACCGAGAGACTGCAATGTCAATTTACAGCAATGTCATTCTGACAGTCTCAAGCCATAGCCAGAGAGGAAGACAGCGGGAGGTAGCCAGAAAAATTGACAAAAATTGTAAAGAAGACACATGTACACGCTCACACATATACATATGATATCAGAATGAGAGCTGATGTAAGTGTATTTCATTCAAGAGAAGACCGAATGCAAGGAAATGGAAATGGTCAAGCTCAAGTTGTTGTTGTTGTGTTAGTTGTTGAATTCCGTTGTAATCAGCTTAAAGTCGCCTTTATTGCTTTATTGCAGCTCTTACCGCCAGATGGCGCTCAGCACAACACATTAGAGTGCGAAAAAAGACAAATAAAACACTAACAAGTCTTACAAAACACGTTTTGGCTTTTATTTTCGTTTTCATTTATGTGCACACATTTTTCGTTTGGTGTCAGCGCATCTTCCATTTATTGAGACCTGTGCGGTGGTCTCCCACTGTACTTGTGTAAAAGAGACAAGCTGTTGCGGTGTGACAGAAGAGAGGGAAAAACAATATGGTGGCTGGAAGCGTGATTACAGCTGTTATTGCTTTCCGTTATGATGTTGTTTTTATTTTGTAGTTTGTTTTTTTGTTTTGTTTTTTTTTTTTTTTTACTTTAGATTAAAAGTAAAGTGAGAGCGTTAACTTTTATGACGAGCCAGGGGGAAATTGTAGAGGGAAAATATAATTGAAAATAATTCCATTAGATCTCTTCTACTCTGTCTTTATTTAAATTTCTGTATAAATAATATTTTTATTTATGTCTAGCTGTGGCTTTATCCGACATGTGTCACTTTTTAATAAACTTTAAATATGTCTGATCGCATTTATCATTCTGCCACCCGCTCTCTTGACTTTAATCAACATTCATTTAAATAATGCCATTGAAAATAATGGGAAATTCTCATGAATTTTGCATAACATGCGAAATTAAGTAAATAAATCAATTCCACACCGCAAGCTGAAATGTCATTTGGTAATCATAAATAAAAATACATTAATAAATGTGAATGTGAATAAAAAAAACAAAATTGAAAGCGTACGACTGTCAAAAAGAGAAACACCAACGATTTTCCCATAAAAAATAAATTATTTTCCCATAGAAAATATAATTTTTGCCATGATTTTCCATTCTTTTATTTATTTTATGGCATCAAACGTATTCGTGACGTTTCATCTTCGTGTGGGTGCCTTTGTCTATTTTTTCTGTTTTTTTTTTTTTTCTTTGGCAATAATAAATTTAATTAGCTAACGATTGGCCGTTGA